ATGTTATATTTCAGCTTCCTTGAATTATATTCCATCAGAAGTATTTCCTTTCCTCTGGACAAATACCATGTTCAGTAAGGGGAATTTAGCATGCAGAGAAAGAAAGAAGATGCTAAAACTTAGAGAAACACTTTCCATCCTTGCTTTCTTCCACCTAAAGAAAACTAAATATTCCCCATAGCCTCAAAAAAATTTCTCTTTCCCTATGGACCCTGAATCTTTTTTTACCGTAGGATTGGTAACAAGATACCAAACTTAACGAAAGGGTCTAATTCTCCACCTATTCTTACTGCTTGTTGCACCATTCCGCTTCTTTATTGTTTCTTCTCCCACTCTAAACTCTCATTCAGCTTGATGCTTCTTCTTCTACTCATTCAGCTTTTGTAGTCAATCCATGTGTGTGGAGGGGTGGGGGAGAAATAGACATATTATAATGTTGTGACTGCCCTATCTTTTAAGTAGTTTTAGGCAATCATCTCAACAACATATATAGTCAATGAAAGGTCAAATACATTTTAAAGGACAAGATTATCAAGAAAAGGCTTTATCAAAACTACTGCTACAACAACTACGACTACTATGCCTCGATCTCATGCTAGTCAGGGACCCTTCGTCTCTAAGTGGAGCCCAACTTGCACCAGGTCCTTGCACAGAAGATGGAAGAAAGTAAACATAATTGCAGCTCTGATCCTTCAACGTGTATTTGAAACTCTCTACCTTGAAATGGATTTTCTGGTTTCAAAGGTGGATTGGTTGTCGTTATAATTAAAATATCAACCCTTTCATTTCTCTGTGGTATACTATTCATGTTAAGGTCTTGCTCAGAGACTAAGCACTACCCACATTTTTTTTTTTGATAATGGTGGTGTCTACCCACAGTATTACTATGATGCCTTAGGTAGCAAGCAGTGCACAGTATGGTACGTAGTCAATAAGGCTCCCATATAGGAATACCAAACACCTGAATATACTAAGGTGGAACTCAAAAAAATTTCACTTTCTGAGAAAAGAAAATGGCAGAATAGACAAATTTTAGGCTTGCATTTTGCAAACACAAGCTGAAAGTCTTTACGCTGGATACAGTAAGGGTATGTTTCACCAGAGAGACCTGACAAGTGATGACTACTAACTCCTAAAGTCTCCAAATGCACTTACGAATCCAAAGCAAAAAAATAGGTAGCAAGTAGAAGTGAAGAATTTTTCCATCTGGAAAATGGTCCATTTTATCTCCAGAACAAAGGATTAACAAAATCCTTATTGGAGAGAAATGGTTAACTAAAATTCAGCAGGAGGATAACACTACCCGTGTAGTCAATAGTCATTCTCTAGGGATAATTCAACTACATATGCGGGCAAGTAACTGCATTGCGTAAAATACATAAAGAGCATAACATCAAAATCACAAACAAATGAAATCACACCTAACCATTGTGCCCATTGAGAAATCAGATGAGAAAATAGCAGTGTCCAGTGCAGGCGTTCCTGCCTTCGCCCTTCATCCAACACATCTTCAAGTGTACATACCTATAATACAAAGAAATCCCATTTCACAATCTAAGCCAAATCTTCTCTACCAAAGCACAAAATCCCAAAAAGGGAATCTTTTAGCAACATAACTCAAAAGATTATCAACAAAAAGCCTATAAAAGGTAAAATTAATTGAACCCACAAAAATGATCACAAAATAGGGCAATAATACTCCAAAAGAAGGAGAAACTTTCAGCAACATAATTCAAAGAAGAGTATCATAGAAAAACCCCATCAAAAACAAAATTAGTTGCAACCCACAAAACTTATCATAAAATAAAGCAGAAACATTCCAAAAAGGCAAAACTTTAACAAGATAATTCTAAAGATTATCAACAAATAGCCTATAAAACACAAATAATTTTACAAAATAAACCCAGAAATTACCTGATCACTGTCATCATATTTATTATACCCAAGTAAAGGCTCATTTAAACCATCATCAGAGCCCAAAGAATCAAAATGCTCATTCTTTTTGCCACCAACATCCCCATGATGTAGCCTTCTCCTCAAAGTTGTTGATGTCATAAGTCTATATATATTCTTTGAACTCAAAACCCACTTTGATTTCTCTAACCGAAACCCAAAACTTTGAGAAAAATTCCCAAAAAAATTTATGTAGGGGAAAATTTCAAAACCACAAAAATTTTAAGAAAAACCTCTCCTTTGAGAATTTGTGTTCTTTTCTGTAGTATTTATTATTAATTTGCTGCTTATTTTTCTTTTTTTGTCGGTGTTTAAATTGTTTCTTTCTTGGGAATTAAGGGACGGGAGATAGGTGGTGAATGCACGCCAATGAGAAAGCTTTAACGAGCTGAATAGGTAGGTTTGATTAATTAATTGCCGATTCCGAGTCTTTGAGATCTGGTTATCAGGCTTGGGTTACTGGTCAAGTTCAAGTAGTATTTTTCTTTTCTTGAGTCAACTTTAATACTTAAGGGGGTGAAAATAGCACGGCCTAGCCGGTTTGTGTTGGATTATTTGACTGAAATACGAAAAATCCCAATATAATATGCGGAAGCTTGTGTGTATAAACTTTCAGTATATTATATTAGAACTCGAGTACAGAAAGTTTTAGTGTAATATACTAAATTATGAAACTCGTGCATATAAACTTCCCGCATATTATGTTGGAACTCTAGCACATTATGTTGGAAGTTCATATGTAAGAAATTCAAACTCCTACATATTATACTTGAATATTTTTGGTCTTTTAAGAAGTATTTTTGTTCAAATTTTATCTTTACAGGAAAAAGTGGCTAAATTTCAATTACTTTTAATGTGACTATTTTCAATTGCCAGTTGTAATTCTGACTATCTTTTATTATTTTTTCTAATCAGTTTTGAAAAAATTGGTTGTCGTAATCACTTTTTGGGCCAGCTATTAAAGATTAGAATATTTAAAACATGATAGGAAAATATTGAATGGAAATAACACGAGGCAGCCACTTTTAAGTATGTTATTTAAATTTTATTAATAATTAATAATATATTTAAAGATTAGCAATTCGTTCAAACTTTATACACAATATCTTGAAGATTGAACCTCGGGATACAACATCTTGAAGATTAAACCTCAAGGTTCAAACTTAAGAACATTGTGTTCTAAAGTTCGAAAATCGTGTCCAGAAATTCAAATATTATGTCCTAAATTTTAAATTAGCAGTTCAAAAATTCAGGACACTAAGGGTATGTTTGGTATGTAGGAAAATATTTTCCATAGAAAAATATTTTCCTGAAAAGTGAGTGGTTTTATCACTTATTTTCCCTTGTTTGATTGGTGAGTGAAAAAACTTATTCTGGAAAATATTTTCTAATGTTTGGTTAGAGAGTATAAAATATTATTAGAAAAATAATTTTTAATGCACTCTCCTCAACCCACCTTCCCCAAATCCCCATGTTTCTTGTACTCTTCCCTCTGCACACTATTTTTCTTCAAGAATTTAATTATTCTTTTCAAAATTCACACAAACCCAAAGGAATTAATGTGCTACTTTACTTTTTCATACAAGAACAACATTGAAATTTAAGCTCGATAACTAAAAATAATACTTTATTTTTGTTGAAAAAGAAATTATCCTTTCTACAACATGAAAAGAAATTACTTATTTTGTTGAATGAAAGAAAATACTTTTTCTACAACATAAAAACGAAATACTCATTTCGTTAAAATGAAAAAAAATACTTAGTTTGTTGAAATGAAATAAAATACTTTTACTACATAATGAAAAGAATATACTTATTTTGTTGAAATAAAAAAATTACTCTATCTACAACATAAAAAAAATACTCTTAATAATAGTTCTACTTAGAGTGGGTGGTGGGCGAGGTTGGGGGGGGGGGATGGGGGGATGGGGTGGGGTAGGAGGTAGGAGTAGGGCAGGGGTGGGGCGGAGAAGGTTGAAAAAGACTTTTGAAAAATGTTTCCCTTCTTTTGATAGGGAAAATATTTTTCTCTAATCGGATGAAAATGAGTTCATGAAGAAAATGTTTTCCAAAACATTTAAGCCAACCAAACATGAGTTTGGAAAATATTTCCTACTAAACACACTCTAAGTGCTGAATTTCAAATTAGCAACTTAAAAATTTAGAACACTAAGTCCTGAATTTCAAATTAACAGCTCAAAAGTTCACGATACTTAGTGCTAAATTGGCTAATTTTCAGATACATTAATCATGGATATATTTAAATAATATGCTTAAAACTGACTACTGATTATCTCATTCAAATTCTGATATATTCTAATAGCTGACCCAAAAAGCAGCTATGTAAGCTAATTTTTTCTTGTTTTAACAAGTGCACAACTAGCCGTATTTTTGGATTCTACTTATAAAATAGTCGAAGTTTATAAAATACTAACCATTAGAAATTAATCTTCGATTTGTGAGATCGAAGTTGAGAATCTTCTGCCTAAAGTTTTCAAATATAGATCCAAAATTAGGGGATTTGGCAAACTTAAATGAAGTTGATATATTGTGTGTATAACTTGAACAAGTTATTTTTAAATTGTAGTGCTCCACAAATATTTAAATGTTCATATAACCTTGAACAATTTTTTTTTTTCTTTGGAAAAGAAAACCTCCAACTTCTTAGTTACTCAAAGCAAACCAATTTTAGAGTGCAAATCACAAATAAAGAATCCCCATTTAAACTGTACTGCAAGTTAAACAAATATTGTACAGTCCGGATCGTTTGGTTACCAAGATAAGGATATTAATTTCAGTAAAAAATTTGATATTATACATATTTTATGTTTAAAAATAATATTATTTATTCCATATAAGAAGTGGGATAGATAGATAATGTCATGAGATATCCGTTAATCCCAAAATTGAACCAAAGGATAACCCCTTAACACCTCCTTTGCTCTCTCTTATTAACCATTTAAAAAAGCATCTATTAATTTTGCAAAGTAATGTCAACTTCTTTCAAATATAATTTACCCAAAAATGGCACGAATCGTATGTAAAAAGTCTATCCTTTTGCTTATAATTTCATTAACTTTCTTTACAGATAATTTCCATTGCAGGATGGCCATTGCAACCTTTACTTTGCCTCTTACATATTTCCCTCAACGTCACAAATTACCATTTTTTTGTTGTTGCAGCAGCAGCAGCAGCTCACTTAAGCAGTCAAATTCTGTGCCTTCAAATTGTATAGCCAACAAAGCGTTGCAGGAAATCCAAAATTCTGGTGTTATTGCTTGCCTTCGAACCCAAAAGTAACTCATTTTTATCATTCTTGCTTTTCTTTTAGTTTTACTTCCTTTTTTGTTGCATTTCAGTTTCGATAAACTCAACAGTCAAATGTGAAATCTGAACCGAGTATAGTTTAAGTTTAGTCTTTAGTAACTCTATATTAACCCCACTGCCTCTGGCCAGCAAATTATTGGGTAGAATTACCATTGAGTTGTTATGTTTATCTGCAGTATTTCTGTTATTTCAGCTACAGATTTGCTCGCCTAATGGTAGGCTCATTATGCATCAACTGTACATCACGGAACTCTCTTCTCTCTCTGGAATTCCTTATTACTTTTGTAATATGGTATTTTCTCTTTAAATTTAGGGTTAACAAGTGTTCCGAATATTTTAAGTTATGAAGCCAAGTAATGCTGTTTTAGGGAAGAGAGCCATAACATATTGTTGTTTGGTAATCGAACTTTCTGGTATAGAGTCTAATAATTCGGACACGAGCAAAGTTTATCTTGAATGACTAGTGGTCAATGAAGTGGGAGGAGAATCATGAGATATCCGGTTCAAATCCCAGGAAAGTCAAAAGACACTAGTATTTTTCTCCCCATCTGCCTAAGCCTTGGTGGATAGAGTTATCCGACACTTGTGATGGTGGGAGGTAGCAAGTATTCGATGAAATAGTAGAGGTGTGCCCAAGCTGGCCTCGATGTATATTTTCTAGTAGATTGTGTAACTTCACATTATCCAATCCATTTTTTGTTCCATTTCGAAAGTTTTAAAAGACATGCAAATGTGAAGTTGCAGTTTTTCCATATTGTTTAGTGCAGACCTGGCGACTCGAGCTGCACGTGCCGCACTGGATGGTGGAATATCAGTTGTAAGTTTATCTGGTAAACTTATCCTCCATCCCAAGTTCAGTGTCCAAGTTTAACTAGATATAGGTTTAGAGATGAGAGTTGAAAATCTCTAGGAGATAGTACTCTGGTACTTACCAAAAGAAAAAGGCGGACACTTGATTCTGTACTAAACGGCTATTGTACTGTTGGCAACTACTACTAATGTATACCATGATTTGTTCGGTATATTTAAAGTTTTGTCTACAAGATCAAATTCTCATTAATAAAGTATTACAATGGTTTATTGGTTCTTCCAGTTGTTTTGATATATGAATAGGTTTTGCATTATGATAAAAAGTTCGTTATGATAACTTGGTAATATTCTCTGTATTCTTCATCAAACAAAATTAAAAATATTCTCTATATTTGAAATAGCCCTGACTTGGAAAAATGAATGTCAACTGCAAGTGTTTTTCTATACTTAATTCCCAATTCTGGATTTATAACTTAATATTGTGAAAATAGGTAAGCCATTTCAGGTTTTTTTAACAAATACACTTAGCAAAACCTGAAACTCAGGTAACAGCATGTTCCTCCTTATGCCATGATACCTTGCTATTGCGCTCTAATTCAACAGCAACAACAACAACATACCCAGTCTTATCTCACACCGTGGGGTCTGGGGAGTGTAGTGTGTACGCAGACCTTACCCCTACCTTGTGAGGATAGAGAGACTGTTTCCAATAGACCCTCGGCTCAAGAAAGCATAAGCACCACATTAAAGAAAACATGGACAAGAATGGACAATACCAAAAAGCCATATAAAAGCAGAATAAAAACAACAAGACATTAAGGTGATCAACAATGAAAGAAAACAACGTTTAGTCATAAAAGCCTACTACCAACAGAAAGCGAGACTGCGTGCCAATACTACTGTTATGAACACTCTAGACTACCTACTCTACTACCCTAATCCTCGACCTCCGTACCTTCCTATCAAGGGTCATGTGCTCGGTCTGCTGAAGCTGCGCCATGTCTTGCCTAATCGCCTCTCCCCACCTCTTCTTTGGCCTACCTCCTCTCCGTAGGCCTTCCAATGGCAACCTCTCACACCTCCTCACCGGGGTGTCTGTGCTTCTCCTCCTCACATGACCAAACCACCTAAGGCGCGCTTCCCGCATCTTGTCCTCAATAGGGGCCACACCCACCTTGTCGCGAATAACCTCATTTCTGATCCTATCTAACCTGATGTGCCCGCACTTCCATCTCAACATCCTCACCTCTGCTACCTTTATCTTCTGTACATGCGCGATCTTGACTGGCCAACACTCAGCCCCATACAACATTGTTGGTCTGACCACCAGTCTGTAGAACTTACCCTTAAGTTTCGGTGGCACCTTCTTATCACACAGAACACCGGAAGCGATTCTCTATTTCATCCATCCCGCCCTAATACGATGTGTGACATCCTCATCAATCTCCCCATCCCCCTGAATAATAGACCCAAGGTACTTAAAACTCTCTCTCCTAGGGATGACCTGCGAGTCCAGCCTCACCTCCCCTTCCCCTCCTTGAGTCTCGCTACTGAACTTACACTCCAAGTAGTCTGTCTTGATCCTGCTCAACTTGAAACCTTTAGATTCCAGGGTCTGCCTCCATATCTCTAATTGCGCGTTCACACCGTCTCGCGTCTCGTCAATCAATACGATATCATCTGCAAATAGCATGCACTACGGCACCTCCCCTTGGATGTGGCGCGTCGTACGTCCATCACCAGAGCAAACAAAAAAGGGCTGAGTGCCGACCCCTGATGCAACCCCTATTGCGCACTACTTCTTTTCCTCAAATGCGAATGTGATTACTCTTTCTCAGTCGCTAGGATATTTCCACCTTTTGAATGAAAATTTCTTTTAGGGTATCCAGAGGTGTTCTGATAGTTATTATCTTCTAAATTGCAGCTGGAAATTGTGGTGTCCACTCCAGATGCTTTCGAGGTACTCTGAGACATGCTGCTTTTCTCATGCTGGAAAGCAGGAAACATTTGGCTAACTTGTGTGCTTCTTTCCTTTATGCAGGTGTTAAGAAACCTAGTACATGATTATCCCACAAAAACTTTCGGAGTAAGTAGTCAATAGCTTCTTTTATTTATTCCCACTATTTTTGGTTCAAGGAAAGGCAAGGGAAGGGAAAGTTGAATAGGAACTTGTTGCTTAAGCACTCTTTGGAGGAACTTCCCTTTGGGTGTATTCTTTAGCTGTAAAGAAGTAGAAGACATTCATTTCCCTCCTTTTTTATTACAATTTCTTTCTTCTTTTTTCCTTTGTGGTGGGGTGGGGAGGGGTTGAAATGCACCCCCTGACTTGACTTCACCTTCTCTTTTACTTCCTGAAGGAGGGAAATAAGTCGTACTCTTCCTTAGCTTTACCTCTACCATTTCCTCCCTTTCTCACCCATCAAAATGTGGCGTAAATTCAGTCTCTAGATCCTCAATGATTCTACTTCTTGGTAGGTTTTTAGTTCTGTTTTTGTACTGTGAAAGTTTTTTAAGTTTACCTTTGTTTAAGTGCAAACTCTAGTTTCTTTAGTAGATCCCCTTTATTTGTGATTTGCAAGAAATGCTTTTAGAGGCATGATAATTTTCTGTGGATAAGCAGATCTGCCAACGGTAAGGGCATGCTTGTAGCACTTGAGATCTTTATCTAACAAAGGATGCATCCTAATACGATAATGTCAACTTTGTGTATTGTGGACTGTATGTAAAACATAATAAGGACAGGCTACCAATTGTAATCGTAAACACACTTCTCTATGTGTGCAGGTTGGGACAGTGTTACAGGCAAAAGATGCCAAAGATTCTATAAATGCTGGAGCTAAGTTTCTTATGAGTCCTGCAACAGTTATGGTATGTGCTGGTGTTTCAACCTTTTAGATCTTTTGCCTAATCCAAATGTCTATTTAAGTGTTTGTCTTATATAAAGGTCAGTTCCTGTTACCCGCTTATGTCTTTAATCGACATGTATATATAGTCATGAATGCCTAAAAGGTAGTTGTGATTTTGACCTTGGGGACTGCTTTTCCCTGGATACTTACATGTTTTTTGGTTATTCTTTATCTCAGGATATTCTAGTTGGCGTCTCAGAGAGTGATGCTCTGTATATACCTGGGGTAATGACCCCCATGGAGGTACCGGAAAATCTTGGTCTTCATTTCATCTTGTCATCTTAGAACAGGATTTTACCTCCAAGGACTTGGGAAACGGCAGAGGCCCAACTGAGTGCTGAGTTTTTAGTGTCCATCTGTATCCCACAACAGCGACAGGCTTATTTCTTGAATATCTACAAGATTTCTTCCTGTAATAATATCTTCAGATTATAACGGCATCAGAGAATAATGCAATTATTTTATGATCCTGCAGATATTATCTGCTTTCAATGCAGGTGCCAAGATTGTCAAGGTGAGTCATGACTTTTTTATGTCTGTTCCTTGCTCTATGGTATACCAGTATAGCTTGCAGGATTCTTGTGTTCCTAGCCTATGAAAGGATGTGATGGATAATGCTTATTGTTTAAACTCCTTTTGCCATGTAATTAGTATTTCTAGGAATTTGTTATATAAAGTCAACTACAGGAACTTGACATTCAGTCCAGGTATATGCTGTTGGAATTGTGTAAAAGATTCATCTTAACTTATATTTCATTCAACCAATTGTACAAGTATTCCCCAGAAGATAGGATTTGTCAAATGGCAAAGTACATGTGATGTATGTCAGGATGTTTATTCCTTCGATTGAAATGAATATATTTGTCTATATGGATAGAAGCTTGATAAACAATTGAGTATGTACTAATCCTTTTTACAACTTCCATTTTTTGCCTTACGTAGGTTTATCCTGTCTCTGCCTTAGGTGGTATTGGGTACATTTCAGCTCTGAAAAGGCCTTTTTCTCATATCCCTCTGGTTGCATCACAAGGCGTAACAATAGGTTTGTTATCTGAATAGAGATTTATTGGTTATAAGCCCTTGTTTTAAATATTACTCTTTTCATTTAAATAAATCGTCGGTCAATTTTCAAAAATTGTCATCTTAGGGACATTTGAAAAGTTGACCAGCGCTTTTCATTTAGAAGTAGAACTGAACGATCTGCTTCACCTGTTGGTACTCATGAAATTCGAAATGTTGTTTTTGCTAAAATTTGATTTTCTAAAATTCTTATGGAGAATATGTTGATAGTGAAAGGAATAATGCAATATGGCTGGTGCCTTTGGCTCATCTTCCACCATCTCTCCATCAGAAAAAGGAAAACTTAAATGAGTTTCAGGAGTTACTGACAGCAAAAAGCATGCTGAAGAAGAGTGTTTAAATCATCATACTAATAAAATTTTACTATGTTTCGAACAGATTTAGAGTGTGAAAACAAACTGTCTGGATTGGTTATATTAGTTGACCATCCGTATTTTTCATTTATGGCAGCAGTATCTGATGTATACTTACGGAGAATCCCTTGTTCTCTAATCTGTCATATCTCGTATCCCATGCTCTCTAATCTGTCATATCTCTCTTGCATCTCTTCTCCATAGCAGATTTACTATTTACTCGTACCTTTTTTGAGAAATGAAGGATGGCTGTGCTTTGGTACAGATTTGATTGGGCAATACATTGGTCAGGGAGCATCAGCAGTTGTTCTATCAGATGCCATATTTGACAAAGGGGCGATGAGTCAATGGAATTTTGATAAGATATATCAACTTGCCAGCCATGCAGCTTTGCAGGGTAAACAAGCTGTTGAAAGGTCAGAACATTAACTGCTGATGCATCTTTTCGATTTGTTAAATCCTCATGGAACTGAAGGTATTTTCAAGAAACCAGAAATGAGATTAAGACATCCTGCTCGAAATTTGGTAAGCAAGTATGTGTTTTTCACTTTTAGTGCCTAGATAGATTTGCTATGCAATGGGTTTTTGGCCCAGTTATGATACCTTAGTCCCTAACCCTGTCTGTCTTCCTCGAACAAACACCACAAAAAGAAAAATTAAAACTTGCTCGTTTTCACCATTTTCCTGAATATGTATATTCATGATTCTTGGAGAAAAATGTCTTGAATGTTGTGGAAATCCAGATGTGAAATAATCACTGATTTTTTTACTCTAGTTCTATATTCAAATTTGTCACTATGTGCGGAGAATTGGATAGAGAAAAGAATGAAATGGAAAATTGTAGTGAAGGAAAATGATTTAACATAAATACCTTGAAGGTTAGCAAAGGCGCTAAGACATAAACCCGGGCTGAAGTTTTTGCTTCAACAATGCCCGATAATAGTTACTAACAAGTAACAATATTATGAATATGTTGATCTAATTTCTCTGTCTTAACTCGAAATAAGTTAAAGTCCCCAAAGTAGCCTCATTGATGTAAAACATCTCCATGGAAGCTTGTGTGCAATAGAAGTTTGGGAGATTAATCTCTGAAGGAGGGCAATTTTCCTACGGAAATCAACTAAGTTTTACTACTAACTACATTAATAAGATGTTAGTTGGGTCTCTCGCACAGGTAATCACGGAAACCACAAATGCAGCAATCATTTTATCGCTTGGAGCAATTCTTGTCTCTCTCATAAGCTTCTGTGTATCTATATCTATATTATATTAAAAGGAGGGTAGTGAAGTATGAGGTTAAGCCAAATGACATATTGAAAAAATGACACTTGGTACTTTTAAAACATAATCTAAATAGATTTAGGCAAATTTAATTTAAAGATTAAGACAAATTAGATTTGATCAAATTTAGTTATAGAGAAAATAAATTTAGATTGACTCATAATTTTATACTAAATAGGTTTTGAAAGCTTTCCAAAAATTATTCCTATTTAATATTGTTTACTATCAGCGTGATCAATTTATTTTATTTCATAATTTTATATTTTTGAAAATATTATGTAGAGAAATAAAATGATAGTAAAAATGACACTATAATAATTAGATATAATGTATTCAAATGATTAAGAAAATATCTTTTTATGATTAATATATGAGTTGAGTGCAATAGCTTTTAGTTAGAAAGCATGACATAATTTTTTAAAATATTAAGTAATATAATGATAAGAAAGTTCATAATATGGATAAGGCCACTTAACTCAAGTCCAACAGGTAAGATAAAAAATATTAAATATTAAATATGAATTAATAACGAAAATAGTTAGAGATAATATGAAAATATTTATTAATAATTAGTTTAGAAAATAAAATAAAGTAAATATAAAATACTTAAATATATGACTAATAATTTTAGATAATTTAAATTTTTTGAGAAATATTTTAAAAAATGAATATTTATTTCAACATTTAAAAAATTACATATTTATCAATATTACATTAAAGAATAGTAGTGGATAATGATATTAAATAAAGTGACAAGTTAATAAAAAGTCTCATAAAATCTAATAATACTATATATTAGATACCATAATAGAAAAAATTAAATTAAATAGTTAAATATAAAGTAAATGTCTAATGCACGTAATTTTACTAACGGAAATTAAAATTAGTTATTTCTTAATAGTAAATGAGGAAGAAAATTAAATTACATGTAATACAAAAAATAATTATAATAAAACTCAATAGATTTGGAACATAATAATCAAATAGCTTGTGTATTAATATTTTAGACCAATTCAAATTTTTTAAAATAAAAGGTGATATTATTTTGGTTATAGGTAAAATATTAATGTAAAAAATAATTAAAATTTTATAGTAGAGAAGAGAATGTATAAAAAAGAAAATAAAGATAGTGTGAGAATCTTATACTTTAAACTAATTTAAAAATAAATAAACAAAATAATTAAATAATACTTAAAATCATTAGTGATAGGTTTAAATGATAAAAGAGTTAAGAGTAAGAGGATAAAAGCGTAAAAATACTTTATATTTTAAGAATAAAAGAATTTATATTTATTGATGACAAAAATTTGTATCCATTTTTCATGATATTATGCATAGATCAGGTATATCATGGCGAATTCTTCAGAAAAAATTGTGTCTTCCACAATGGAATCTGAAAGGGTAATAAGCAAGACATTAAGACAATCTGTAAGCTATTAAAAGATCACATGATAGTATAATAATAATAGTAAATAATGAAAAAATACAGCAACTATAAGTAAAGAATAAAAAGAAAATGTAATTTGTGTAGAAATATGATGAATAAGACTTATTTGATTTTGAGATGAAAGATAAAGTTATAGTAAGAATTTCTTAAGAATTTTGTTAGAATAATATGATCTAATATGCTCAAACAAGGTAGATCATAATATGACATCTTTAGTATTTTTTACTATTTGACAACAAAATAAAATGCAAGTACTAAAATCAAGGGGCTGCGTTATAACACACAGATATATAATATATATATATATATATATATATATATATATATATATATATATATATATATATATATATATATATAAAATAAGGTGTGCACTACGAGAAATAATTTCATGTCCTGCTTCGTAATTAATATTACTAATTATAGATAATTTTTATCTGAAAAGTTTATAGTTTAGGATTATTTGCACATAGTTTAAATAACCCAAATTACAATTTTATATTGTTTGTGTCCGCGAATCCGCGCATCACGCAGGGACTAATACTAGTATATATTAGAGGAATAAAATTTTTGCATTGTGGTTAAGCCAAATGGCTAGCTATTAAGAAGCCACTTGGCAAACTTAGAACAAAGAAATGTTTAATTAATGAAAGTAAAATGAAAACAAATTAATTCAAATCTTGATTTACAGTCTCACACATATCTTTTTTCCCCTTTAATAATTAATGGAATTTGCAATAAAATAATAAAAGTAGAAGAACAATATTGCAGAGAAAGAGAGAGTAATTCTTATTGAATTTTGGGATGATTTACAATTGGGTAAGACCCCTCTATTTATAGGGGAAAAATGACTTAGCCACAAAGTAAAACTCTTTAAAAGATAGACATTCACTCTAATTACAATTCTATTCATAACACTACTCCTTGAATGTCTACTCAATATGTAATGTGCCTCGTTAAAACCTTAACTAAAATAAACTCAATGGAAAAAAAATCTATAAAGGAAAAAGAGTACACATATCTAACATACGCCTTTTCGTTGCCTCGTTAAAAACCTTGCAAGGAAAACTCAATGGGACAAAACTTTGTAAGGGAAAAAGAGTGCAACGCGTATTAAACTCCCCCTGATGAGAGCATCATTTCGTATCCTTGAGCCTTCGCATACCAATCTTGTGCACTAGCTTCTTAAAGGTTGACATCGATAGAGTTTTTGTGAACAAATCAGCCATGTTATCACTTGAACGAATTTGTTGCACATTAATATAACCATTCTTTTGAAGATCATGTGTGAAAAATAACTTTAGTGAAATGTGCTTTGTCCTATCTCCTTTTATGAATCATCCTTTCAATTGGGCTATGCATGCTGCATTGTCTTCATACAAAATCGTAGGTAGTTTGTCACATTTCAAACCACATTTGTCTCGAATAAGATGTATTATAGACCTCAACCACACACATTCTCGACTTGCTTCATGAATAGCAATTATCTCAGCATGATTAGATGAAGTAGCCACAATTGATTGCTTAGTCGATCGCCAAGATATGGCAGTGCCTCCACAGATAAACACATAACCTGTTTGAGATCGAGCCTTGTGTAGGTTAGATAAATACCCAGCATCAGCATAACCAACAAGATCAGGACTGCAATTATTACCATAAAATAAGCCCATATCGGTAGTCCCTTTTAGATACCGCAATATGTGTTTGATTCCATCCCAATGTCTCCTTTTAAGAGCAGAGCTATATCTTGCTAAGACATTAACCGTAAAAGTTATGTCAGACCTTGTAGTATTAGCAGGATACATTAGTGCACCAATTGCACTAAGATATGGTACTCAGGACCAAGTAGCTCTTCATTCTCTTCTTGAGGTCGGAATGGATCCTTATTCGCATCAAGTGATCGAACAACCATCGGAGTACTTAATGGATGTGCTCCATCCATGTAAAACCGTTTCAATACCTTTTCTATGTAGGCAGATCGATGAACAAAAATTCCGTTTGCCAAATTTTCAATTTGCAAACCAAGACATAATTTTATCTTTCCGAGATCTTTCATTTCGAATTCCTTCTTTAAATAATCAATTGCCTTTTGGAGTTCTATAGGAGTTCCAATAAGGTTTATGTCATCAACATATATGGCAAGTACAACAAATTCCGTTGTTGTTTTCATTATAAAAACATATGGACAAACGGCATCATTTATTTTTTGAGAATGTAATTGGCATCATTTATATAACCTTCCTTTAATAAATACTTGGGAGCACATGATTTTTGCCACGCTTAACTCTCTCCTATAAAATTCCTTAGAATTAGAATTTTTCTTTTAGATATTTGAATTTTTAGGATTAATTACATAATTCTTGTGTTTGTTTGCATTTTTGTGTGCATTCTTAGTTTGATATAATTCATGAAAAATACAAAAAAAATAGTGCATTTGCATTTAGCACCCCATTTTAAATATTTTTAGTTTTATTAGTTAATTAACATTACAAAAAATGGAAGAAAATAACAAAAATAGTCCTTTTGCATTTTTACTTTTAATTTTGATCTTTTCTTTAGTATTCTTTTAAAAGTAGGATTTAGTTGATTTTGATAATTAATTAGTTTAATTTTAGAATTATATCAGGTCTGTTAATTGTTTTTAATTTTGTATTTTTACAAGAATTTGAAAAATGAAAAAGGAAGAACAAATGAAAAGAGAATTAAAAGAAAAAGATTGGTCTACTTAGTCTTGGTCTAAAAGTCAAGCTCAAACCCCTCAAACCCCCTTTAAATCAACCCAGGCCCCAAGCTAAAGCCCCAAATTCGGCCAAAATGGCCCAAATCCATACCCCTACCCGGTCCAAACGATCATGGCCTTGAGACTAATAAAACGACGTAGTATAGGAGGGATACTACGTCGTTTTGAATTAATGCCAAATCAATCCAAGCCATCCATCCACCCCAATCCGACGGCCCATAATTCTTCTTGATTTTGAATAATATTGTCTGAAATATGTGAAAACCCTAG